ACAGCCCTCACAGCGCCCGCAGCCTTCACAGCCCTCACAGTCTTCACAGCCCTCACAGCCCGCACAACCCTCACAACCTTCACAGCTCTCACAGCCCTCACAACCTTCACAGCCCTCACAGCCCTCACAGTCCTCACAGCCCTCACAGCCCTCAGAACCTTCACAGTCCTCACAGCCCTCACAGCCCTTACAGTCCTCACAGCTCACAGCCTCTGCCACACACGATGCAAAACCGACTGTCCCGTAGAAGGTTACCTCTGAAACGCCGTGTTTGGCATACTGAGACTTGACCAAAGCAAATGATGAGCCTGGTCCTTAAAACATCCCATGGCTGTCAGCGACAAGAAACCAGTGGAGCAGCAACATGAGCCAGGCATTGAGCCCCGGAGAGCAGGGCAGGAATCACTCATAAACACATGAGCATATTAGGGCAATTATGCAAGATAAACTGTAAGCCAGCCAGATTGCTAGACAGTGATAAAATTTCTCCTGTATTCCTCTGATTATCTCTATTTATTTTACAAAGGACTCGATTGACCTCCCATTTCATAGCTGTTTTGCAAATGTCTTCACTGATCCTAAATTGCAGGTTTCATTCCTGGCAGACCACTTAGTGCAGTTTTGTTTGCTGATGCCATGGGCAGGTTTTCCTTCTGAGTAGATCAGGTGAGTCTGTGTGATATATGGATAATATTTTCTTTAATATGCTTCAGAAAAAAAAATTCTTCACTAAGGAAAAAGTGTAAAGTTCAAAGACTAAAAAGCAATTTTTTAGCTGACACTGTGAGTCACATCATGATAAAAAAATCAACAAATAATTTAATAGCTGAGGAACAAGTCAGCCCTCAGGCAATCAGTATTCAACTTTTCCATTCTGAGACAAGAGAATTATTTTTTAATTGGTTGCTACATCATTTGAAAATTAATTATTTTTATTTGCATTTCATAACAATCCCTATTAGAGACTGGGCTCTTACTGCACTGATTGCTGTGGGAAAACAGAGAGAGATCCTGTCCTAAGTTACTTGCAGCCCACGGGTTAAATTGATTGTAAAGTCTCTAACCACAAGACAACAAGCCATATCCACTCTGAGGCACTTTCAGGTATAATAAAGAAAAAATAATTGAATACAGCAGCTAACTTCGTCAGTGAAAATAGAAAGAAGTAGAAATAAAATTGCTTTAAACCTGCTTTAAAACAAACAAAATTAATTTTTGTTAGTTTATATTGAATGTGTTTATAGAGTACATTTATGGTTCTGGTTTCTGGCAGTAAATTGTACATCTTAAATTTCTAGGATATACATATACATATACATATACATTTCAGCAAGTTGTCCCAATATAACATAATAGGTTGTGCAAACGTGTTCCAAAATACTTGACAGTTTTTTGTGCTTTTTGTGAATTCAACCTTTTCCCCATGGTTTGCGTGCAACCCATGGTGACCTCCCTGGGGACTCATCTGTACCCACAGATTATTACTTCCTCCGAAAGTCATTACTTTGCTAACAGTTCTACTTAGCTGAATCAGACCCTCTAAAGAGAAAGCAATTTGTGCAAAGAGTTGCAAGGATCAAGGAATGGTTACAAAGCAGAAATGTAGTCCATTATTTCCCCCAGCTATAGCCTACGCAGTAGCTCAGTCCTGTGAAAAGTTCTTTGCTCACATAGCAATGGATGTTCTTCCAAGAAATTGCTTTATTGTAAGGGTTCATTGTGATTCTTTCCTTTTTTTCTCCCTCACAGAAGCCACTCATCCTATGAACAGTACGTACACTTATTTTCCAGAAAATGCCTTTCAATTCCAGCACCTGCAGTGCTGCATGAAGTTATTACTTGTTATTTCAATTCCAGCACCTGCAGTGCTTCATGAAGTTATTACTTTTCTATCCCTCTTCACCCATACTTTGTTGCCCTGTTCCTCATTGCCAAAGCCTCAGCAGTGTACTGCAACACCATCAAGTTACATAATATAAATTACTATATAAGTTCCAACCACCTATATTTGTATCTGTTCATGACTTCTCATCACCTAAGTCACTTCTCACGAACCTAAGACCATCTCTCTTATTTTAGGTATGTTATAGCAACTAATACTGGCCTCTATGTCTTCCTGTAAAAGTTGGGAGATTACAGTACACTTTATAAAAATGGATGTAAAAAATCAAGTAGGGAAATTAACAAATAGTCTAAGAAGGGATCAATTGAAATTGGAAAAATAGAAATGCAAGTTAGAAAATTTAAAAACCTCAATACTTTCCTATTAATTTAATAATATTTAAACTTTCAAAATGCTTTGGTAAAGGTACAAACATTTGGCTACAGAAATACATATAGTTCCAATGAGAGCAGGCACAGATAGCTGAATGCAATGGCTGAAAAAAGAGAAGCATATGATGAAATTTGTGGTGGTATGAAATTACTAAGATTAATGTATGGTAGTTACTAACCCTTTCCTCACTGGCACACACTCTGATTCTGTATACACGACATTCTTTCATCCCTGAGTGATTTACTCCTCTTTATATTTTGATGTCAAATTCTGCTGTTTTTTCTACAACTGAGACTTGTTGGCAATCACAACCACATCTTACTGCTTTTGTCTTTTCCCAAACAATATTTTTTCACAAAATATTTCTTTCATCCTATCTCTATGTCTCTCTCTTCACAGAATTTCACCAATTTATTCCAAATGAAAAATGACAGAGAAGATCTTCATCCTCTTTCCCAACCTCGTTTGGCTGGTGCCCCCTTCCCTGGCTGCCTCCTCCTTTCTGTGCCCCAATTACAGCTCCTTCCCACCTTGCCTTGTGCCAGTGTCATCTCCCATTTTCCCATCTCTCCCATCCTGCTCTTGTCCCCTCCTTTACCCTTCCTTTTTGTCTCTCACTCTAAGGTAGTTTTCAGTTCTCACAATAAAGTCATGTATTCCTCTTCATGTCTTAAACCCATATTTGACCTCATTTGCCTCTTCAATTGCTCCTTCCTCTCCCTTTCATCTGTAAATTCATTTAAAGTACTGTTATAGTCCCTGGAGTGCCTCTCCTTATCCCTATTCTTTCCCTACCTCAAACCTTACCCTACAAAAGCTCTCCCTGAAGTACTTTATGACTTTTGAGGCACTAACTGGGAGCAGTGTGTGTTCCTCAGGCTCCTTAAACTGCTGCCACCACAGCTCTGTTGAAGAGTGAACCTTGCCCTAACTGAAGTCCTACTCATCGTTTTTGCTTATACTCTGTCCTTTCCTCCTCACCTTCCTTCTAATTTCTTCTGCAAGGTTGTCTTATAAAGCTTTTCATGTCCTCATCAGTCTTTGCTGGTCTTGTGTTGTTCTCCTCTCCTTATCTCTGGTATTCTCATCTCCAAACACAAAGTCAATTACCACACGTTTCTAGAAAGAATACTTACTGATCTACCTCTTTATTACCTCCTATTCAGAGTCAGATCTTGGACTGTCTAGCTTCTGTTTATGATTAGGCACCAACTCAAAGTAAACATGGCTAAGATAATGGTAAGTGTGGGTAAAAAGCTAACACTCTGTTTAGCTTTCACTGCTGGAGACAACACTGTCACCTATAATTTGAACTTACTCAGCATCATCTTGATCCTCTTTAAATTCCTTATCTAATCTTCTTTAATATGGTATTCATAGACCCATTCGCCTTCAAATTCTCATAGTTTCCCATGTGACCACTACAGAGTCTTTCTTGAGCCTTTAGGAGTACAACATGGACCCTTTGTGACTTCTCCCTCCCTATCATATTTTGGTCAGCAGAGAGTTGTGATATCCTGTTCCAGCCGGCCTGTGATGCCCACCTTTGTGAATTTTCACTCCTGCACTTTCATAATTTCTTCCTGGTACTTTGTTACTTTCTACAAAAGTCTGTAAAGCTACTTATTTACATCTGAACCTGCCTATAGGCATTTACTGCTTTACATGGAAATTGTAATTATTCTGTGCAGCAACCATTTGTACAATATCTAGCACAATGAATTTCTGGACTTAAGCTGAGCTTTCTAGATACTGCTGCAATACACAATAATTCTTTAATCAATTTAAACTGCACATCAGATCAGAGCTCCTCAATCCCTTTCCCATACCTGTCGCTTCTGTAACACCTCAGGTGCACAGCTGAGGAGGTAGCATGCTGACAAGAACTGGGAAATTCAAACTTGATGATCTGTTCTTGTCCAACCCCTCTGGTCAACTTTCTGTATGAAAGAAGGCATCAGAGGTAGTGTGGAAGAAAGCTACCTCTTCTCTAATTTCAATTTACTTTCTAAATTACTTGCCATGCAAAAGAAAAAGCCATGTATTCCACAGCAAGAGCCTCAAGGACCGAGTTCTTGTCCCTTCTGATAACATTGTTTCACAGTTGACGGCGTCTGTACGCTCTCGCTCGTAGCCGAGTACCGCCGCGAGAGGGTCTCTAGAGCCCGAACCGGCTCCGGTAGCCCAGAGCCCGGAGCGCGGCGGGGCCGCTCCTGGCACTGCCCGGTCCCGGGGCTGCTCTCGGCGGGGCTGGCCGGGCAGGGCAGACGCTCAGAGCGCTCCGAGGCGCCGCGGCATCAGAGCAGACTCGGGTGCCTGCATTTCTTGGCGGGGGGGCTGGAGTGGCGGAGGGCGTTCTTCTCACAGCAGGAACACGGGGGGATCGGCGCACACCCCCTCCATGCACACACAGCGTGTGTGTACGTGTACATGCAGCGGGTGTCCGTGCACACACAGCGTGTGTGTGTACGTGTGCATTCAGCGGCTGTCGGTGCACACACAGGATCTGTAGGTGCACACACAGGGTGTGTATGTGTATGCACAGCGTGTGTGGGTGCACACACAGGATGTGTAGGTGTACACGCGCGGTGTGTAGGTGCACACACAGCGTGTGTAGGTGCACACACAGGATATGTAGGTGCACACACACGGTGTGTAGGAGCACACACAGGGTGTCGCCGCCGTTCCCCTCCCCGCGGTGCCCGCTCGCGTCTCCCGCACTCACCGGGGCGCGGGCCGCTCTGCTCCCGGCCGGGGCCCTCGGCGCTGCCGCCGTCCTGCGGCGGGCTCTCGGAGTCCGTGTTGGTCAGCCAGGTGGACTCGGTCTCCCGCGTCCAGCTCTCGTAGTAGCGGGGCTCGATAGCGTCGGCCCGGCTGCCCCCGCAGCCCATGGCGACGCCCCGCTCACAGCCGCCGTCGCCGCCGCCGCCCGGGCACCATCGCCCCGCCGGGCACGACCGCCCCGCCGGCCCCGCTCACGCCCTCAGCACCATCGCCGCTCGTCCAGCTCTCCCCGGCTCCGCTCTTCCTTCTCCCTCTTCTCCCCGGCTTTATTATCTCTGCTGTCACCCCCCCGCAGCCCACCCCGACTCCTGGCTGTCCCCTCCCTTTCTCCTCCCGCAACCCTCTTCCCTCCCCTCCCGCTTCTCTCCGCTCTCCCATCCCACCGCCTCCCGGCTCGTCCCCGATCTTTCCCCATCCGCCGGTGTCTCCCAGAAGGGGGACGCGGCTGCCGCCGCGGCGCTGGCTCTGCCCTGCCGAGCCCCTCCGGCTGCCCGCTGCCGGGGACAGACACACACCGCGGGCGGGCAGCAGCTCCCTCCTCCCCGGGTTAGGGTCTGGACGGGCAGGATTTACATGTACATGCACAGCAGCCCCTCGGCCTGTACAAATTCGTTTGCCCTGACTGGGTCTTTCACTGAACCGTCTGTCCCTTCCCTGTTTCAGCCGGGAGAGCCTTGCTCCCGCTTCGGTGTTGCAGTTTGCTGCTGTATAATTGGGAACTGAAGGTGCAATACTGAGTGCTCAACTCTTCCACTCTTTCTTCTTGAATACTCACTTTGGGAAACAACCAAAAACATGAGACTCCTGCAAAACAGATTATAATTTAAACTGATGCTCGGGTAATCTAAGTGGCAGACAGAGAATCGGCACTGAGTCGTATTGATGGTGATTGCAGTTTGTATTGCAAGAGCTGCTTCACAGGTCCCTGCTGGTTTGGAACCAACCCCATGAACACTAGACACTGTGGATCATATCCTGAGGGGGGACTTTATCCCAGATAAATGTTTCTCTCCTGGAGTAGTTTCGCAGTAGAGCAGCAGGAATGAGTCTTTCCCCTATGAGAACTTACAGAGCAATGCAGATGTTTTGCACTTCATGCTGTTACCCAGCATGGCTGTTGGCTATAAAGGATTCATCCTCTGAAATCCAAAATCAAGCTGTCCAGCATTATGGGAGCTGCAAGTAGGAACACAAAGTCTCTGGAGTAAAAGCTCTGGTCCCTAAGGTTGGCTCGAGATCTTTACCAGGATCCCATAAGGCCTTAGCTTTGCACCCCAGGCAGTAGGTCCCGTGTTCTTGTTCTGAAGGGACCCAGGTCAGATACTGCTCAACAAGCAGCCAGATCACCCATTGTGCCTCCCAAAACAGATGACCACTGAGGTGTTTCTAAGCAGCTTCCCAGCCAAATACTGACTCCCAGCAATCTTACTTTCTGACTGAGTTTTGCTGAGATCCCTTACTCACGTGGGTGCTGCCCGTGCTCTGATCCCCATGCTACCAAGATCCCAGGGTGACTGGGACAGTGGTCTGAGCCACTTTTTCATTGCTGTGGTAATGTTTTGGTAGATTAAAAATACTTTACTTTTATAAAAAGAGAGTTTCAAAAGATATTGTATTTCAATCAAACTGCTCCCCAGCAAATAGTCCCCAGGGCAATGGGATATAATGGTGTCTGAAGCCAATAAAGAAGCCTGACACACATCTGCCTTCCCAGGAGTTGTGTGTCCCCTAGGTGAACATAGTGCATGGCCTAGGAAAAACTGCCAGACATCCCTGAGTCTTCAAATGAAAACATGACCAACACATCAGTGGCTCACACTGCAATTGTGCAAAACTTCCTAGACTGTAGCCATGATATTATGAGAAATCCTTTGCCAGGATTTTTCCTCTCCTGAGAAGCTGAGGAGCCTCAGGAGAGAAATGTAAACAATTACTATCTGCTGCTGTGGAATGCAACAGGTGCATCTGTGATTGGTCCATGTGGATTGTTTTCCATTGATGACCAATCACAGCCACCTGTGCCAAGGCTGTGAGCAGTCACAGGATTTTGTTATTCTATTCGATTCTTGTTGGTTGCCTTCTGATCTCTCTGTTCTCTCTGTTCTTTTAGTATAGTTTTAATGTAGCATTTTAATATAATATTTAACATAATAAATCAGCCTTCTGAGAAACATGGAGTCAAGCCTTGTGTCTCCACACACAGAGAGTTCGCAGCAACACTAGACCAAGAGCTCTAAATGAAGAACACACTGGAGCAGAACCTTGGGGGAGCCTTTGTATTTTGTTTCATTTTAACTTAAAAGTTTAAGGGGCTCTGGCAGGCTGCTCCCTGCTGACATGCATGCTTTGACATCACTTCGATTTCAGTTCTAGCTCTACTTACAGAAACTCTGTCTTCTGACACTTATTTTTCCTAGCAGTTTTCAAACCCTTGAAAAACCAATGGTGAGAGAGCAACAAAGGGCTTCTCTTTCTTTCCTGTTGTTACTACTACCACTAGAGAGGAATTAGACCATAAATGTGGAGTGGGGTCTTAAAGCATTATATTGAACCATGTCCATTTTCCTTGCACTAGTATTTCACATCATCTTTCAAATTTCCACTTTTGGTGGAACATTGAGAAAATTACTGCAGAAAAATAATAATGTAATTATTACAGATTTAATGTTTAGACTTCTGGTGTCATTTTGATTTTGAATTTTAAAACATACTTTCAAATAAGACTTTCTTGTATGACTAAAATAAAATGTTTGTTAACTCTAGTAAGTAAATGATTTTGTTTTATTTTCATCAGCTCCTAGAGGAACTGAGAACTACTTTTTGAAACTGGAAATTTTTTTTCCATAGCTAAAGGAAGTTTCATTCTTTGGTGTGTTTAAAATAAATTTAAGAGACTAGGAGAAAAAAAGACATTTACATTGTTTTATTAAAAGTGCCAAATACAATTGTGGGTACCCTTTTATCATAATTCATTCTGAATTATCGAAAATTACTCCTCACTACTAAGCGTGCAGGCCACAATGTTGATGGATCTGCACCATTCTGATCCCCTCCTGAGCTAAGAGCAAACTCTGAGGCACAGAGGCACACAGCCATGGTGTAGAGGGCGTGTGCTGTAGCTATGAAATACCACAGCCTGTGGCAGGGAAGAGCATGTTGGCTGGCATGAAATGGTGATGGCATCTGTAATACAGCAAGGTAACAGTACAAGGGTAGGAATTTGATAATGTTAGTTTTGTACTGAGAGTTGTATTGGGAAAGAAAGTGGACAGACAAGGAGATCTGCCTCCAGAAACAGAAAATCCCCAGGATCAGTTGAATCCTTGGCCTGATTCCGTCTCTTCCAGAAGTGTAATCATATGGGAACTACTCAGCCTGTGAAGCTGGGTGGAGAGCAATTGATGCAGGGCAGGAAGAGGTTGATGGCAATGTGCAAGTGAAGAATTAAAATCTGCAGAGCACTGCAGAGAGGGGAAAAATGTTACAATTTGTTTTTCTTCCTTTACTTCATCATCTGAGGTGGTGTAGCCTAGCAGGAAAGGGATTAAAAATGCAATTTTTTTGGATCAAGTTTAATTTGTCATGCTGCTACCCTCACACTGGGAGATGATTAAGGCATTAAAATCTGACCTCTCTTCATTAATTGCTAAAAAAGGGTGGTCTCCCACAGATCCTATTAGTGGAGCTTGGACTGTGTTTTAGTTGCTCCGGTTTTGTGCTGCCTGGTGCGCACTGCAGTGATGCTTTTCCTCCTCATGCTGCCAGTGATGTCTGCCCTGTGTATGCTGGTTTCAAAATATGCTACTTGAAATAATGGGAGTAGAAAATAAAAGGACAGGGTGGGCAGGGATGAACAAGGGAGGGGGATTTCAGGGAATTTACATTTACCTCTAAAATAGGTTTAAAATAATGAAAAGAAACTCTTACTCATAAAATCTTTGTGTAATTGTTGTAGGATCCATTATTAATTTTCCTTTTGGTGGTACTGGGTCAGTTAATTTTTTGCATCCCAATGACCATTTCAGTGTTAGGTGCAGAAGAAGCAACAGGAGGTTTAGGAGATGTCCTGCCTCTCTTCATTTTTATGTGTGGCATCTCGGCTTGTTTTATTAGATGGTATTAAATCCAGTTTCAGATCCCAGCTTTTCTCACAAGTCTGTTCTCTTCACCTCAGTAAGTAGACAGGAGATCATTTTACTGACCTACCCAGGATCCCTGTGGTTCAAGAACATTATTAGAGGGGGGAGAAGAATTTGAATTTAAAACTTTTTCTTTCTAGTAATATATTCTGTGTATGTGAGGACAAATAGAATTATTTAGCTGTCTTATACCCATTTGACATCATCACTCCAAGCTTGCAATATGCCTGGAAGCAAGATTGCTTCTGCAGCTTTCATCTGTTTGTATGAGTAAATGATTAAGCATTCTTCTTTACTGCTGTGAACACTTGAAAAATATAATTTGCTTGCCTTGATTTCTCAAATAATTGTCTTTAAAAGTTTTCAAATTTATACCATATAATTTCCAAATTGCATTAATTATGCATTTCTTTCAACAAGGAAATAGTAGCCTTCATTTATCTGATACAGCCATTCAAACAAGGAAAGTTTTCAGTTTAGATTCACAGCTTCCTGGACATGGGTGGGTGATACTCAATATTAGCTACATGTGAAGGTTTGCTAAGATATCTCCAAACAGCTCATAGAGAGAAGTAAATTAACTCACTCTTCCACTGCATCTATTTCACGTTTGAAAATTACTCTGAAACAGAACCTCAAATTCCAATTTCACAGAGTCAGAGAGCAAGGCCTTGAATTCCCCCATCTGAAACTTTCAATTTAGTTTGAAAATAATAATTTACTAGATTCTCAATTGTGAATAACTGTAGCCTGGCAGCACAGAAGTTTCCTGTGATGGAGTACTACCAAGGAAATTTTGTGGTCATTCCTTTTCAGTTTTCTCAGCCTTTGAACCACAGCTGGAGTTCAATGCTGACCTGAACTTGCCATGGTCCAGTCTCCTTCCCTTGTGAATAGTGAATGCTTCCCAGTGAACAAACCATAAGCTTTGCATAAGTGGGAAGTTTAGGATCAGTATAATCATACTC